AAATGATCTACAGACTGACCAAGAAAATCCAGCAAATGCTGCACTCAGTGACGGACAGGAGAGACCGTCTCACTGTCACAGGGATTTACCACATACTGTGCAGCCGTAGGCAGGTCTACATAGGGACCAGTAAACACAGTGACTAAACAAATCAAAGAACATGAGAGACACTACAGACTGAGCCAGCCAGAAAAATTGGCAGTAGCAGAACAGGTCATAAACCAACCTGGGTGTAGAATGCTATTTGAAAACACTGAAATTCTGGACCATGCCAACAACTACCAGGTCAGAATGCACAAGGAGGCCATTGAAATCCACAAACGCCTGGACAACTTCAACAAGAAAGAAGAAACACTGAAAGTAAACAAAGTTTGGCTATCAGTTCTGAAGAACACCAAAATCAAGATTCAATTCATGCAAATGAACACCACCCAGGGTCAGGGTTTCCCCGCAGACAATGGATTGCTAATTAAATAGACACACATCCACCTCACATAGCTTCCCATCCTGAAGCCTTGCCATTCACCAACAATCAAACACAGAGATCAACATGTAAATCACTTCCTCCCAACCAAGGGTCATACAAGTATATATATACCTCACACACTTCCATGCCGCCACCCTCTGAAGATGCCAGCCACAGATGTAAGTAAAACAGCAGGAATAAATTCTTCCAGAAGATGGCCACATAGCCTGGAAAACCCACAGAAAACTATGGATGCTGGCTGTGAAAGTCTTTGACTTCACAATAGTTTAATTGTTAATGGTTCAGTGTTCAGGTATTATTATTATTATTATTATTATTATTATTATTATTATTAATAGGGTTTTAAATCTTGAGTTAAGTATTGGAACAAAATATATTTAAAGGGGTATCCTTGGTAAAGAAAAGGTTAAAAGCCATTGCTTTATTTCATACTGCTATCATTAGTGGAGACTAGAAGAATAGCAGACAAATGTGTGTGTGTGTGTGTGTGTATTGAAATACTGCTACCCAGTTGCCATATAAAATTAAATTTATGTTTTAAAAAAATAATGTCAATCAAGACAAGCTATTGAAGCAAGAAAAACTATTGAAAGGAGACCATCTATTGAAACAGCTGAAAAATCAATGGTAGCAGAAATGGCTTGGCTTGGATGATGGAGGAAATGCAGTTGATGAGGAAGGAAGTGATGACACAATTTGAGAAAGAAAATAAACAATTGAAAAATAAAGAAAATGAGTTGCATTAAAACAACAGCTGAAACTAGATACTCAGTAAGATATCAGAAGAGAAGTCAGAGATTAAGGAATTGATCAGACAACTGGTTCATGAAATAAAGGAGATAAATGAAAAAGTCAAACAATTGGAGCTTAAGGGTGATAAAGAGAAATATCTATTGGAGTTGAGAGAAAAAGAGTATTTTTTGAGATTTATATTGATTCTGGAAGATCACAAGAAAATATCAAAGAGAAATTGGCTGATGCCTTGGAAATTTTTTTAGATAAAGGAAAGAAAGAGATAGGTTTTGAGATAGACAGAATTTATAGAATCAACTCCAGATATGCAAAAGTACACAATCTACCAAGATATGTGTTGGCTCGCTTTATTATGAAGTTGATGAGATTTAATTCTTCAGAACACTTTCTTACAAAATTTTAAGTAGGTAGAGGAGAGAGAATAGTTTTGAAGGAGATGCTTACCAGAATTCTGCGTATGAGAAAGGATGATAATTTCTTTAATCCCTGAGACTCTCACAAATGGGATTATCTTTGCTTGAGCAATACGTTGTTAAGAACCATATTATGTAATCTTTTTGTTGGTAAACCCACCCACTCCTGGCTGCCTAATGGGATGGTTACTGCCTAAACTGTCATTTCTTATTGTCCGCAGCTCCAGCATCAGTATCAGAGGAACTGTTCGGAGCTATTTGGTTGTCTTTTATTTTGCTTTGTTTGTTTATTTGTTTTACATTTTGTCTGTCTCTTGGTGTACTCTTTACAAATTCTGCTTTGGACTTGGTTTGATTCTTGGTTTGACTCAATCTGTCTTCAGTAACATTTTATCAGTGCTTACTATGGCTAACTCTGATTTCTTTGAAAAATGCACCACCTGTTGTGCCAAAATTCGAGAGTGAGATGGACATTCCTGTTGCCTTTTTTCCCTTGGTGAAGGCCATAACGTGGGAGCTTGTATTCACTGTAAAGCCTTCATCCTGAAAGCCCCAAAAAATCGATCTTCAAGATTGAAAGCATTCTTACATAAGCAATCTGTTCAATTAGTGGTTTTGAGCTCTGGAGCTGTTCTGGCATGTGCTTCTTTGGTCCCTACTGCTTCTGGACCATCATTGACATTGGCGGTGAAGCAGTCCATGCAAGATTCTGGGATTCAACTAGAGCCTTCATGAGACAAATCTCGCTGCCATGCATCTAATTATGATGTTCGCTCTAAGATGCCTTTGGAACCAAGACAAGGTGTCTGTACTGTGCCTCATTTGAATGCACCTGTGACACCAGGTTGCTCATTGGAAATGGAGACTTCTTCTAAACATAAATTGGAAAAAAGGTATCATAAGAAAAAGAAGAGATTATGTGTGTTTGATATAATCAACTATTAGTGAATATAGAATTTTAATAAAAATGATTTTTTTAAAAAAGATATCCAGAGAAGGAGACTCCACCATCTTTCTATGCAAGTGGTTCCATTGTTAAACACTATTTACTGTCAAGAAGCACCTTCAATGTTCAATTGAAATCTACTCTCTGCAGGTCGTATCCTGGTCACTGTCCTCTGGGGCAGCACGGAACAGGTCTTCCCTCTCCTCCCTGTGATACCCTTCAGGTATTTAAAAGTATGTTCTCTGTACCTCTTATTATCCTTGCTGCCCTTCTCTGAACTCACTCCGACTTGCCTATAACCCTCTTCAAATGAGATGCACAGAACTGTATGTAGTGCTCAAGATGAGGCCTGACTGGCGCAGAGTATAGTGGAACTGTTAATTTCCTTGTCTAGGAAGTTATGCTGCTTTTTGTGTGTGTGGGGGGGGAATAATATTTATTAATAATTGTTCAAGATAAACAAACATAACAAATATAAACAATTAAAACAACCACAAGAGCATAGACCCGAATAACATATATTACCACCCTGTCCCCTATTCCCATTAAATAAGAAGAAGAAAAAAGAAAGAAAAGAAACTGATCCAAAATACACTGCAGAAATAATCCAGTTTGAGATTGCTTTAACTGCCCTGGCTCAATGCTAGGGAATTCTGGGAACGGTAGTTTTGTGAGACATTTAGTCTTCTCCATCAGACAGCTCTAGTGCCACAATAAACTACAATTCCCAGGATTCCATAGCACTGAGCCAGATCAGTGAAAGTGGCCTCAAACTGGATTATTTCTGCAGGGTGTTTTGGACCTATGGTTCTTTTAAGGCAGGTTAAAATAGCATTCACTTTCTTTGTTGCAGCATCACACTAGTACTCCATGTTCAATTTACGATCAACAATAATCCCAAGATGCTTTTCACATATAGTACTGCTGGGTGAAGTATTTTCCCCATCCTATATCTGTAAATGTGGGTTTTGTGGCCTAAATGTAGAATTTTGCATTTCTCTCTATTGCATTTTATTAATGTTTGCCCAGTTTTCTAATTTATCAAGGTCCTTTTGAGTTTTCTTCCTGTTTCCAGTGTTTTTGCCACCTCTCCCAGTTTTGTGTTATCTGCAGACTTCATAAGGATTCCCTCCAGCTTGTCATCAGAGGTTTAGGAGATGTTCCAGAGCAGATTTTCACGAGACGCAGAAGTAGACTTGTACCTTGGTGCTCTTGGCTTCCTTTCAATGTTCTTTTAACATACTGCCAAAACAGTCTTATTTTTAAAGTTGAACTAGAGTCATTTTGACATCAGTCACTACTTCTAGTCAGACAGTTCTATTGTCAGACACTAACTTGGATTGTTTTTTAAGAAGTGCAAGTTACTGCCCAAACAAAACTCAGTTTGCACTTTAACTTCTGTTGCTAGACTGTTGTTAATGCCATTGGTTTATACACATAAAATCATTGGTACTCAAAGGTGATCATATTATTTACTAACCTCATTAAATGCAAAAATTGTATTGGAATAAAATGATATGAAACCCATCTCTTAAATCCCCACCATAAAGCTGTCTGTATACAATTTTTTTCCTGTTTCGAATACTGTTTTTTGGAGTTGCATGTGGCAGTTTCTGAGAGTCTTCCTTATTCCCTGTGGTGCTTGTTTAAACCCCTCCTGTTGTCACATGTTTCCTTAGCACGCTAATGAATTCTGATTCCCAGGGGGCTTCTTCACAGAGTATTTTCTTTATAAAATCAGCTTGCGTGTTGTTAAAATCCACAAAAGAGGCAGAGGCATTACCTGCTGGAGAGCTGATGTCATATGCACAAAAGGAAAGCATTTAATATGAAAAGGTAGTTTGTGAAACTAAAATAGAAATATCCCAGCTGCTTAGATTTTGGCTAAATGTAGTATATCTTCTCTATGCAATTTGCTAGGATGTTTTGGGCCCCTGGAGTCACAAATTAAAAAATGACATTGCCTCAATTCCCCCAGCCCCCCAACATCCATTCCATGTTTCAGTTTCTTGTCTGCTCCCAAGGGACTGAGAAGGGACTGATTAATGGTGTTCATGCAGGCTGTGTGTAGTGAAGGAGGAATATCAAGAGTGGCTAGCTGCATCTGTTCCAGCAGTCTTTCGGGCTGCTACACAGCCATTGCACTGTTACTTCAGGCCTTTGGGGATGGCCTGAGCCTCCAACTCGAGCTGTTCTGTGCTTCGATGCAGTGATGTCTGCACTCTCTCTCTGGATGCTGCATAGGCTGGCCCGCTG